GTTTTCTCTTGCCTCAAACACATCACACACTCGTACCGGGTGAGGCATCTAAAAAAATGTCAAGTATCTACAACTCCTCACTCCCAATTTGCGAATCTTACCCAATTGCTTCACATTTTCATAAAAGTCGAAAATGGGCATCCTATTTCTTATTTGTAAATAAACAAGGTTATTTTCCCAACTTGAAAAAATACCCTGATGAAAAAGAAGTAATAAGAATAAAATTAAAAAGGTTTGAAGAGCTCTGCGCATAGCAGGTCAATGGAAATTTTTATGTAATGAACGGACCTGCTGCTTCCCTCGAGAAGCTTCCCGAAAATTTTTGAGAGATGTTAGCAGGAACAAATGGCGACGAGTACGAACCAGACAGTATTTTAAGCTTTCGAAAAAGTATACAGCGCCATCTTAAGAAGTCAGAAAGCCTCCTTTTTAATCCTTCAAGATGAAGAATTTCGTTGTTCCAGGGAAGAGTGACAAGAGTGCAGTTTATTTTGTAAATAAATGCACTCGTTTTCAGCTAATCAGAAGTATGTAATTTTTTCATGTATGTTATTGTAATGGTAACTGAACTGAGTTAAGCGCGATTTGGTCTAAAATCAAACGCTTGACCTCAAAATCAATCTTGCGCACAGCGAGCTCGAGAGTTTGATTTAAAATTACAAGTGACGGCACGTCCACGTGGAAAATCTGCCACCCCACTTTCAGCAAACTTACATACAGCAATTTCTATTCTCTCTCTGATTGTTAGCTTAACCCTCTGTTGGATCAATGTCATCCGAGCCATTAGACAATGTAATAAAGCCCTCAACAGAGCAAGTATATTCAGAAATAAACAAAAAACACATGCAGCAAACGACAAACAGGCCAAACTGAAAATTACTCATAGATCTCTATGTTTCCTTTTTTAGAGTTGGTCCATTAATACGGCTTTACCTGGTTCATATCATTCCTTTGATGAGGTAAGACTTTATGAGCGGCTCAGGGCTCAAATCATTTTGTGACTTAATCTGTGACCCCCCAAACAAGAGGAAATAGAAAGAGAAAATAACTAACCCTATTGTTTTCTGTTGCCCTAGACACATCACATACTAATTACATTAGTAGTCCTTTTTATGTGTCCTTTCTGTGGAGCCGCTTCGTTAATACGGCCGCTCCATTTTAACAGATTTGCCTGGTTCGTGACTTTGATGAAGTAAGACTTAAAGATGTTTTATGACTTAATCTGTGGCCCCCAAAACAAGATGAAATAATTTACCCTATTATTTTCTCTTGCCCCAAACACATCACATACTTGTACCGTGTGTAGCGTCTGAAAAAATGTCACGCATTCACAACACTTGACTCACACCTCCGCATGTTCTTCACTTCCTTCCAAATGTGCCTACAAGTCGAAAATAGATATCTTGTTTCTAATTTGTATGTGGGCAAGGTGATTTTCCCAACTTGTAAAAATTCCCTGATGAAGTTACACAGCTTTTTCACAATCTTGGTTTGTGCAGTGCTTGTCGCTATATTTTATATATGAATTAGAAAGCCAGACCCTTTGTCGCAAACGAGGGTGTCTAAATGCGTGTTTTGAAGCAACGAAGTTAAGGTGCAATGGGTGATTTTGAAGGATAAGGGTTTATAACAAAAAGGGAACGATTGAAAATCATATGAGCTGATTAAAGAGATCTGTTTGAGTGTGTGCGTGTGAGTGCGTTTCCTTTTAAGCTATACCATGTAGAGCCGAACGAACAATAATACAGAAAGTGTCCTGTTTGACCCTGTTTTTGTGCGAACAATAAGGGTTTGCTCGAGAACTAATCAGAAGGTATGTTAAACAAGACAAACCAAGCTCCGTACTGAAGGAATTTGACTTGGTAGATTTATATGGTAAAACAGAAACCTTGATAACTTTAAAAGTTTTTCCCATAACTCATATAATTACATTGAAGGGAACCACAGCTTCTACAGATGTTGTGTCTAGTGAGGGTGGCACACTGAAAATGAATGGCGTTGAACTTACATGGCCCCCAGAAGCTGTTGACGAATCTGTGACTATCAAGCTTATATTACAAAAGCCCTCTAAGTACTGTAGGATGATATTCCAAAGCGGACTTGAGAATGATCTTATTTTTGGTGCAAGTGTTATCAATTGCCAGCCAAACGGCCAAACATTTAACAATTCTTTGACTTTGAGAATCACTTTGGAAAAGTACAGGGACAAATTCAAAAACCTGTTCGTACTACATGGGAGAAAAAACAGAAGTAAAGACATCATTTGGGAAGATATCACTGAAATATCTACGTTTGACTCCAGTAAAAACGCGGTGAGCACAGAAATTAAAGGATTTTCGCTGATTGCTGTGCTGTTGGGATCGATCTGGGTTAATTCAAAAGAACTTGTGGCGCGGCTTAATTTCGTGTCTTTCAAATATACGTTGTCCGCACTGCACAGAAGCAATTTTCAAAATAGTCCTTTCGAGGAGCTCGCTCTCGTTTTCATGAGCCGAGACGTCTACCAGGAGAAGTACTACAGAGAACACAATGAATCTGTTTTAACAAAGCTGAAGAGTAATGGGTTTAAAGAGCTTGGATCTACGGTTCAAAAGGAAACAAACTACATCTACAATAAGGAAACCCTGGATGTCTCCATTCAACTTGGACAAGACTACAAACCGGCGAACAACCAGCGGAAGAGTTGGGAATTAACCGTTGAGTCGTCGGTATGGTGGAGTACTGGACATGCCATTAAGTTGCCGCTGCAAAGTTGCTGTACAAATGACAAGATTCTGTGTGGAAAGATTCTTGTTCAAGGCCAGTATGGACATGTGCGGGAGGACCGCTTCTGTCAACTGGGTAAGCTTCAGTATAAGAACGGGAACAAGTTTTCATTCTTTGACCGGCTGT